CCCAATGCATTGTAATTTATATAATCCTCTGTTTCATCCTTCCAAGCTATGTTCTGCTGGAAAGTTTCTAAGTATAATGGTGTGACAATACTGTTTTCAGGGGACAGAACATGAATTATGCAATTTCCAGAGTATAACAATTGCCAAAAGAGAGTTTCTTTTGTTAGATATTAGCATTCCATGTACTAGTTCAACCACTTTTTAAGTCTGTCACATACAGGAGTGATCCAAATTTGGTGCCCTCTCTGATCATAAGACTTGGTTGGGCTCGTCAGGAATTCAGAGTTTGTGGTCTCAAAACATCTGAAGGTCATTAGGTTGTGGTGAGCTGAGCCAGGCAACTGTTTTGTCTTAGTATTTTCAATCTACTTTTAACCCAGTGGTCCTCTGGAACCTCATGATCTCAGCTGCACAATCTGTGATTCTTAAAATATAGACTCCAGGGGTTGAGTTTGCAATGTACTCCTTTGTAGACCTATAACCCTTCCAAAGCAAGAAGTTTAAAATTAGCACAGACAAGAGGATTGCTGAGAGAGTTAAACCCAGAGGACTACTGCCTGTCAAAGTAAACCTTCCTAAACTTGATGCTGCCCTTATACATTAAGACTGAAATTGTTCATCACTTTTTTGCAAGTCCCATGGCTCTACTCTGGCATTATTGATTTGTTGAGCTGAATCTAAGTTTAAACTGAACTCTAGTTCTTATGTCATTTAGCCTGTCCTGTTATTGTTGCTTCCCATGTCTATATTGTACCAACAGAGTAATTATTTGTAATAAAAAGGTTGTCAAAAAAAGGGATGCCAAATAAATAAAGTCTTAACATTTTTGGAGGAGTCCATATTTGGGAATTCTGGGGTGCACAATGCTACAGTAGAAGGATCAATTTTCAACAAGTCAATAACAACACTCAATTTTATTTCACCCAATGACCAGTAAATTACATAAACCATAATTAAAAAACATTGTTCAGACTTGCATCAGCTATTGCCTAATTCTCACTGTAGCAACACATAATATAGCTACTATAGGGATGAAAGTTCATTCACATAGTAACTATTTACAGTTGCAATGCTGAACCATATCTCTCTCTGGATCCAGAGTCAACCAGATTTTAGGATATCTATCTTGCAGAGGTGCAGAAGGAAGAATATTATTTAGCTTTTTTAATATTTTCAGAATAGATAGTTGAAAGAGAGTGAGAATGAGAAAGTGAGAGAGAGGCAAAAAAATAGAATTTTCAATTTCTGGGAATCTGTCTTAAACATTATTTTCATAATTACCTTTGGTTGAATCATCTTCAATAGGTTGCTTGAATAAAGTGATGTCTTTAAAAGTGCAAAGAAATAACACCACTTTGTCATGCTCATTTCTTATAGGTGCAATTTGCATGTAAAACCAAACAGGTGTTCCTGTAATTGAAAAATAAATAAATAAAGTACAGATCACATCAAAAGGAGTATGAAAGCAGGCTCATCATCCTAATGATCGCTTATTATGTTTACAATGAGCTGTTATTATAGTGAAAGGTATTTGAATGCCACTGAATAGAATGGGAGAATTAGTCACTGAAAGAAATAGAATTTAACCATTCTTAACTGGGCAAACGACTGTGATAGTGTGTTTGATCTAAGAAATTGGCCTTAATTTGGAAATCTGCAAAAAGATGGAACTGTAAACATGGGCAGTAGCTGCACCCCTCTTCTTTTCCTTTTCTGTTTCATTCTTGAATCTTTGCTTCTACTCCAGGGGATCTGGAGTGTCGAAAAAGTTAAGATGGTGATCACAACCACACAATCAACCACAAAAGCAACAACTCCTATTTTAATGTGTGCATTGCATATGTGGTACGTTTTCAAAAGGAGTAAAGCTTTGATTGCATGGAGACAACTGCGATCATGATTTTTTGACACCCCTGTCCTTCATTCCCAGTGGATCCCCCTGCTTCCATATCTTACAATCTGAGCCCCCTTTTCTTTAGTGGAAGTTGCCATGTTTGTTGCCTGGCATACAGATCAGTGTGAGGTTGAAGGTGGAACTCAAATATCTCTGGCTGCTAATTCTATGAATCTAAGAACGTAAAAAGATCATTGTGGAATTAAGTTACATTATCTAATCTAAGCCAGCATTCTTTTTCTGACAATCTTCCATGCAGATGCCAATAGGTGCTCAGAAGATGGGCTTCATCCCATCATCCGCTATATAGAGTAGGCTTCAGTTCTGCTTTCCCTGTAAAAATGTTGAATTATAACTTTTTTAATCCTCATGGTGTATTTTTATGATCTTTATTAAAAAGCAACAGAGAACCTGTCCATACCAATCTTTCTGGTACAAATATATCTATTTCCCAAGCATTTTGAAAATTATTTTCCTATTATTTCAAATAAACCATCTGTAGCCAAAGGACAAGAGACCTGAGAATGATATAGGCCAGGCAACCAAGTCATGATTTACTATTTCAACACTAAAACTATGTATGAATATAAGCTTTACACTTTTTATAGATAACCTTATAGATAACCTTTTTATAGATAAGTCAATAAACATTCTGCTTCCTAGCCATGTTGTATCTACTTATCATGTAGTTATTGCACATAGAGAGCTTATTAGAAACACTCATGGTCTGATGACTCAAAGGGAAGAGATGGATCAACATCCGTATCCTTGCACCATTGCCCAGTGGTTTTTCCCATACAGATGCATAAATAGTTTTTAAATGTCTTTTTTTCCCTCTAGCCTTTCTCCTGATCTGAGCCATCTTTCTTTCATTTTCCAGCTTCTACTATTACCATCATTGCCAAATTTGGTTCCGTTGTGTCAGCAAGAGAATAATCCCAATCCAATTACATACATTTTCCAATATTTTTTAGACTAGAGAGAACATAGACAACACGTGGTTTTGGAAATTCCTTCCAGTTTCTTAATAGCTCTACTTTGGGCGACATGATTATAAGGGAGGGGGTTAAGAATAAAATAGTCAATTGCATTCTGAGCTGCTGCTCAACTACCTCTCTCATTAGGATGCATGGGGGCGTTCCTATTTTTTTCGCCTCTAAAAATCTGGCCCATTTTTAGATTCTTTCTTTTTCCAAGTTCTTCCCAACCAATATAGTCCTATTTGATTCTGTTTACAGACCATTATCCTTCCTGTGGCCAGATAGATAAAGTTCCAAGTCCCTTTACAGAAGTTCCTTTGAACGGAATATTGGGTTGGAAGAAATAAAAAATGAGGCAACTGTAATTCAGCATCAAGAACATATTGAGATTCAAGATATAAGTTATATACACATTTGTGTGTGAGAGAGAGGGCTAGTGCGTATGGGACAGGAAGGAAGGAAGGAAGGAAGGAAGGAAGGAAGGAAGGAAGGAAGGAAGGAAGGAAGGAAGGAAGGAAGGAAGGAAGGTTCCTCTGGTTGTTTTACCCTCTGATCTCTACACTACAGTTAAAAAAAACCCTAGTTTGGTGTAGTGGCTAAAGTGCTAGACTAGAAACTGTGAAATTATAAGTTCTAGTCTTTCTTTATAAAGATTTAACAGTAACAGTAACAGATTTAAATTTCATAAGCAACTTCAGCAACCTGCAAAATGCTTTGCTGAGCTGCATAGCTGTGTAATTATTTCAAAATTGCAATTTGGGGAAACTTTCAGAAGATCGGTTGGGGAATTACTTTGGAGTTATGATGAAGCACTCCAACAGAGATTCTTGTCAACCAAAAACAACAGCATTAGCCAATGAAATTGCAACACTATAAATTTCATTAATCAAGAAGACAGCAACTAACATAATGCTATCCACTTCAGGCAGAGTGATATTTCTGGGTAGCGCATTCATCAAAATAGAGGAAATGCAGCCTCTACAATTTCTGCAGATAGGACTGGATATGCCAATTCTTGCGTAGGCTGTGGAAGGTTAACAGCCATACTTTGTAAGTAGGTTCAAAAATCTGGGAGGCACCCTGAGCAAAAATGTTACTCAAGATCCAAGTGACTGTCCTAAGCAGTCACATCACTTATTTCACATGAATGTTATTGTTCACAAGATAATGAAAAACAGTAGCTGTATCATGTTCAAAATGTTTGTATCAAGGATTCTCAAGATGATGCAGTGTTTGTAACAGTATTAATTAAGGATCAGGAGTGTGAGATGAAAGCTATTTCTAGGACTACAATAATCAACAAGGACACATTCTGTGATATATTTTCATAGGAACTTTCTTCCAAGTTGTTGAATCTACAATAAATATTTTATCCTGCTTCAGCTGGAGTGTGGATGTGCAGTATAGTTCTTTCCAAAAAATACTTTTAATCATTGCTTTAGAAAAATAACTAGAAGTATTTTATTAACTGATTCTTATCATTAGAAATCAATGTCTGAATAAGACACACCATTACCACTAGTCAGGTAACAGAAGATTTTCCAAGGTATTATCTTGGAGAACTGGGAGTGTTTAAAAGGAAGCCATTGTCACTTCATTTGGAAATGCCTTATTGATTTTGTGGGACTGTTTTAGAGAAAGAATTCTCTGAATGTTGCAGACTCTGATTCAAAAAGCTGGATGTATTTTTAGTGGCCCCATAGTGAGTGTTTTGCCTAACAACAGGAGTTAGTTCTGTTGAGAGATGCTGGTGAGATGATGGCTAAAAATTCATCTTAATTATCTCTATTTACATCTGAGGATTTCCAAAATATATAAAAAAACAAATTGTATATACTATTCTAAAAGTGCTAGCTCCATTCATTTGTTTTAAATGACAGATTTTTATTTCTTGAGAATTAGTTGTAGATTGCTTTCCTTTCATTGTCACTGAAGTTTGGGGCCTAGTGTCATACAAAATTCAATGTGTTGACAGGCCAGTAAAGCACTGTCCTCTTGCTCAGCCGAGGACCCTTCTTTGCATTGTAAATTGGCCATAACATGGTCACCCAAAGTATCATTTCCAATGCATCTGGGATTGAGATAACTACTACACCTCTTCGAATGTCCAGGTCTTGACAACTTCAGTCATTGTTTTCCATTTCAGCAGTTACCAGAGACAATTGCACTGGACCTTTTACATCTACCAGAGTTTATAAATTCAGAGATTATATGTATTTAAAATATTTCTAGTAATTTTAACACATATATTTACTTTGCCTTATTTTCTTAGATTAGATTAATGAAGAACATAGCTTCAGAAAATATATGAATAAGTCTAAGCATCTGGATTATTGCCATAGTGAGGACTTACAAAGATAAAGGATCTCAGTGTGACCCTGGGTATTTCAAGGATTTCTACAGACATTTGAAACTACATTGAACCAGAATAAACATAGAGGACGGAAGAATAATAGAGCTCAGTGGTAATGCATTTATTTGCATGCACAAGAACCAAGTTGATGTTTCCCATTGCCTTTTTCCAGAATTTCTCATTTTAAGTAGCCTGGGACCATGCCTTTTTTACCATGATTTATGTTTATTACTATAGTACTCCATTAGTAGCAAAAATAAAGAGTCTGGCAGAAATATAAGCAAGAAACCCTCTTGATCAGGGCATGCCATTCTAATAACCCCAGGCAGAGGCGTAGCGTGGGGGGTGCAGGGGGGGCCGGCCGCACCGGGTGCAACATCTGGGGGGGCGCGCTCGCACTCGCAGCTCTCTGCCCCTGCCTGGCTCACTCACTCTCTCTGCAGTGCTGGCTGTGCGAATCCGATCCGAGCCGTCGGGTCGCCGCCCACTGTGGAGGGGGGGCGCAAATTACTTGCCTTGCCCCGGGTGCTGACAACCCACGCTACGCCACTGACCCCAGGTCCAATTTTCCTGCCAAAATCAGTCAGCATTCAATGATTACCTTAACCAGTGAAACAACCTGCCTCCAGAAGAGGTGAATGCTCCAACACTGGAAGTTTTTAAGAAGAGACTGGACAGCCATTTGTCCGAAATGGTATAGGGTTTCCTGCCTGAGCAGGGGGTTGGACTAGATGACCTCCAAGGTCCCTTCCAACTTTATTTTTAATAATAATAATAATAATAATAATAATAATAATAATAATAATAATAATAATAATAATAATAATCAATTTTATAGTGCATTTTGCCTTTCTTTCTTTCTTTCTTTCTTTCTTTCTTTCTTTCTTTCTTTCTTTCTTTCTCCTCCAAATATTTTTTTAAACATTTCTGCAAACTTTTGTTTATTTTGACGGTATTTCCCTCTTGTGTACATTCTCTGTGAAGTTCAACAATAAGTATGTTACCAGTATATATGATCATTTCAAAGTCCACACAGTTTCATATACGTACTGTTCTTCTTATACAAAAGGACTTCAAAGCAATTTGACTCGTAGTTGTCAAATGTCTGTCTAACCTTTTCAATCGTTTTCTTATCTGTGAGTTCCCCATACATAAAACTGGAGAAATAAAAGAGAGAAGAAAAATAATTTGCTTCATGGTCAAAAATAGGCAATCTAACATCCTTAAAGACATATTTATGTTTTAGATTGCAACATAATTGCAGCCATGCATCCTTAACTATGATTTTTACTTTGTGTGGTTCATCATTTATAGTTGCAAAATTGTTATGAAAGTCCCTAAAAGCAAATATAGGTGGCATAGTCCTTTGGTGAAAGATTTATATCACTTTATGTAAGAGGTGTTCTGGGCATAGGAAGGGAGGGAATGAGGGAGGGAGGGAGGGAGGGAAGAGAGGGAAGAGAGGGAAGAGAAGGGAGTGAGGAAGGAAGGAAGGAAGGAAGGAAGGAAGGAAGGAAGG